ACAATACTTTGTAACTCTTCATGGAGGAGGTGAGGGGAGGAGTATAGGGCATGAGAAGATTTGGTTACAGTAACCCAGAATAATCAGCCTCCTCATCTGAATATGTAGAGACCCAAGCACATCTTATCTCACTGTTATGGTAACCTGGAGTAGTTCACTTTCCCTTCATCTGCACATACCCTTGCACAGCCCATATGTGAAGGTCAGCTGCAGGAATTTGGACAACAGCATCTGCATTACATCAGCAAGTTCACTAATGAGCAAAACAGGACATTGCATATGTATGATATGTTAATCCATGCAAGTTTTATTATCCACCCCTGTGGTGCTTTCCCGTGAGCTTCACTCACTCCTGAGCAGGGTTCCACGGTGTCAGGTCCCCATTCGATTATCATCGATGTCCTGGGGCTCCCACCATGGTAACACTGCACTTTCATTAAAATCAAAGCTTTCAGCTGATGAGTGTGCCTTGTCCATGAGGGATCCATACCTGTTTTTTGCTCATAACACCCTGTCACTCCAGAGATCCAAGTGGGTTCTTTGCCCCTATACCCTGATTGTTCCAGGATACACTGTACACTGATGTTCTCCAAAGTCCACTGAGTCCATGAAGTTATTCCATTGTAGAAGGCCACTAGATTAGTTAGGTATGATTTGTTCTTGGTGAAGCCTTCCTGGTTGTCTCTATCTACTTCCTTGTCTTTCACACATTTTGACATGTTTTCCAGGAGGATCTACTCCATGATCTTACCAAGAACAGAGGTGAGGTTGACTGGTCAGTAGTTCCCAGGGTCCTCCTTATTACCCTTTTCAAAAAGTGGGTGCAATGTTTCCCTTTTTCCATTCACTGGGGACTTTGCCTGACTGCCATGACTTTTGAAATATGATAGAGTGACTTGGCAGCTACATCAGGCAATTCTTTCATGACCTTGGGATGCACCTCATCAGGTCCCAACTTTGGTCAGTGGTGGGTCCATCTTGGAGCCGGTTGACACTGGCTCTGTTGGACATGGAAATAGCTTCTTGCATCTTCCCACTGAAGCCACTCCTGTAGCTCCCATGCTACCAAAACCTTGCCACACAAACCCGATATACCTTAGCACACCTTAATGCCCTGATTGTTCTTACTACATCAGCAGCCCTTGGGTCTTCTCTGCTGGTCAAAACTCCATCCCCTTCCACCACTATATCTAGTTCAAATCTCTCCTTTTAAGCATGGCCAGGTTATTGGTGAAGACCCTCTCGCCCCACCTGGCCAAGTGAATGCCATCAGTTCCCAACAGATTTGCCTTCTCAAAGGTAGATCTGTGATCATGGAAACCAAAACCATGTTCATTTCGGGTCCTCCTTCCTGAATCCCTATTTTTGACCTGTGCTCTTGATCATTTAGTCTTGAGGGACATAGAGTCTCTTTTGATGGTTCTAATTTGCCTCCTTGCAGTAACATTGGAGCCTACATGGAACAATAGGAGCAAATCATAGTCTGTAGGGTCCACCAGACTTGGTAACCTCTCAGTGACATGAATACAAGCTCCTGGTAGGCAGAAAACTTGTCTAGAGAAATTGTCTGGATGACAAATGGGTGTTTTTGTGCCTCTCAATGAGGAATTACTAATTTCCAATTACTAATACTTTACATGCTTTTTTGGTGGTGCTGGTTCTAATGAGGGTGGACGATTGGATCAACTTTGCATGGTTGACTTCTCCTGGATCTTGTCTGTTACACATGTGCGTTATCATTCTCCAACACCCAGAGAATCATATCTGCTATGTAGGGGTACTTTAGGGAAAGGGGGAAAGTTCTTCCTTCTGCCAAGGAGAGACAAAGGGTCCTGTTTCCTTCATGTCTTGAGTTATTTTGTTGGTCAGCTGAATCCAGACTTTATTTCCCCTTGCACAACCTTAAGTCAGGACTGTCTCTCAGCTGTGACAGCATTCAATATCACATATCCATCTCCTGCTTACATATTTTTGGTTCTTGCAAACCTCACATCGTTGGCCTTGGCCCATTGATCCAACCTGTCCAGATCCCTCTGCAGAGCCTTCCTACACTCCAGCAGATCAGCACTCCTACCCAACTTGGTGTCATCTGTGAATTTACTGAGGGTACACTTGATCCCCTCCTCCAGATCATCAGTAAAGATATTGAACAGTACTGGGCCCAATACTGAGCCCTTGAGGACACCACTAGTGACCAGATGCCAACTGGATGCAGCACCATTCACCACCACTCTGGGCCCGGCTATCCAACCAGTTCTTAAGCCAACAAAGAGTGTACCTGTTCAAGCTGTGGGCTGCCAGCTTTTCCATAAATATGCTGTGGTGTCAGCATATAGTGTCAAAGGCTTTGCTGAAGTCCAGGTAGACAACATCCACAGCCTTTCCCTCATCCACTAGGTGAGTGGTCAGGCAGAACCTGCCTTTCCTAAACCCATGCTGGCTGGTTCTGATCCCTTGGTTGTCCTGAATGTGCTGTGTGATCACATTCAATATGTTCTATAACCTTACCAGGCACTGAGGTCAGGTTGACAGACCTGTAGTTCCTTGGATCCTCCTCCAGGCCCTACTTGTGGATGATTATGACATTGGTAAACCTTCAGTCATCTGGGACCTCCCCATTTAGCCAGGACTGAAGAAAAATGATGGAGAGTAGCTTGGCGAGCTCTTCTCCCAGCTCCTTCAGTACCCTTGGGTGAATCCCATCTGGCCCCATAGACTTGTGAGTGTCTAAGTGGCACAGCAGGTCACTAACTACTTCCGCCTGGATTTCAGGGGGTCTATTCTGCTCCTTGTCCCTGTCTACCAGATCAGGGGGCCAGTTTCCCTGAGGATAACTGGTTTTATTGTTGAAGACTGAGGCAAAGAAGTCATTAAGTACCTCAGTCTTGGTGACTATATTCCCCCCCCCCCATCCAATAAAGCATGGAGGTTTTCCTTGGACCTCCTTTTGTTGTTAATGTATTTATAAAAAACACTTTTATTTGTCTTTTACAGTAGTGGTCAGATTAAGTTCTAACTGAACATTCACCTCTCTAATTTTCTTTCTACATGACCTAACAACATCCTCATACTCTTCCTGAGTTGTCTGCCCCTTTTTTCAAAGGTCATACACCCTCTTTTTCCCCCTTAGTTCCTGCAAAAGCTCCCTGCTCAGTGAGACCAGTTTTCTTCCCCATGGGCTCGTCTTTTGGCACATAGGGACAGTCTACTCCTGTGCCTCTAATATTTCTTCCTTAAAGTATGTCCAACCTTCCTGGACCCCTTTGTTTTTAAGGACTGTTTCCCAAGGGACTCTCCAAACCAATGTCCTGAATGGGCCAAAGTCCGCCCTCCCGAAGTCCAAGGCAGAGGTTTTGTTGACCCCTTTCCTTACTTCACTAAGTATTGAAAACTCTATCATTTCATGGTCACTGTGCCCAAGATGGTCTTCAACCATCACATCTCCCACTAGCCCTTCTCTGTTCATAAACAGGTCTAGCAGGGTACTACCCCTGGTATGTTCACTTTACCAGCTGTGTCAGGAATGTGACTTGATGATCTGAGGTCTTTTACAACCTAAATGATCCTGTGATTCTTATGAAGATAGGCTGAGAGAGTTGAGCCTGTTCAGCCTCAAGAAGAGACAACTGAGAGGGGACCTCATCAATGTCTATAAGCATTTGAAGGGAGGGTGTCAAAAGATGGAGCTAGGCCCTTCTTGGTTGTGCTGGGCAATAGGACAAGAGGCAACGGGCAGAAACTGATGCACGGGAAGTGCCACCTGAATATGAGAAAGAACTTCTTTACTGTGTGACTGACTGCACACTGGAACAGATTACCCAGAGAGGTTGTGGAGTCTACCTCACTGGAGATATTCAAGAACCGTCTGGACACAATCTTGTACAATGTTCTCTAGGATGACTCTGCTTGAGCAGAAAGGTTGGACCAGATGACCCACTGTGGTCCCTTCCAACCATACCCATTTTGTGTTTCTGTGTCTTAAGTTGCTTTCTCATACCTCTACCAGGAATTATTCTCTGTAGAGGCAGATGTCTCTGATATCAGATGTCCTCAAGGTTAAAGAGTATTTTAAGACGTAATGAAAATGGGAATCTATCTGATTACTGCTGGTTTGACACCTGATCTTAGATTTCAAGTAATGCTTTTTTTTTTTAAATCACATTTAAATTGTGATAGTTTTAAATATCTGAAGACTTATCTTTTACAAATATTTATGGTGTTCTGATGATTCTGTAAAAGCAGCACAGTTATAAACAAGCTTTTAATCCTTAACTAACGTGGATTACAATGAGATTTTTTTCAAAGTTTCTTCAAAGGAGTTGACATTGTACACAACTTGACATGATGTTTGATAACACAGTTGCCTAAGTGTTTGTTAATGAATAAACTCAAAAGTCCAGCTTCATGGATGCCAGGCACAAAGTCACATGCTTTTTTTTTTAAGGCATGTCAAAACATAACAATTTATTACAGTATCAACAGTCTTGTTAAGTATACTTTAGTCAATGGAACAGTATAATGGAAGCAAATTCCACTCTGGTTTTGATGTTCTCATTGAGTAATTTTCTTCCTCTTCTCCCCCCCCTCCCCCACCTGCATGGAACAACTTCACTACAGACCAGTTAGGATCATCTTGAATTTTCTGTATAGGAGACTTGACTTTTGGTTTGTAGGCTTGGACTTTTTCTGAACTAAGTAGTTGGATTATACTGAAGTGGCAGTTTCTTCCATGTGTTTTGCAAGACACAATAGGCATCACATAACAGGCTCAGCAAATCATTTACTCATGTTGGAGAGTTTTGAGTGCATTGTGTTCTCCTAAATGTCACTTCATTATAATGTCAGTATGTATTTTATCATGAGCTTTGGGAAATATAATTTTTTTTTTCAGTTTGTAAACTTACAGTTGCTGTAGGGCAGAGGTCTGTTTGGTTGATCTATCTTGAAGAGTAGCATAATAAATTAACTTCATTGTATTGGATGTCACTCCTGTATTTCAGAGCTTTCAGCCAACACAGCTGCCTTTGCTAAAAGTGCTACCATGTTAGGTAATTCTGAGGACCACACTGCTCTATCCAGAGCTTTGTCTCAGCTTGCAGAGGTTGAGGAGAAGATAGATCAGTTGCATCAAGAACAAGCTTTTGCTGATTTTTGTGTGTTCTCAGAACTGCTTAGTGACTACATTCGTCTTATTGCTGCAGTAAAAGTAAGTACTACTAGGAAAAATGTATAATGTTTGTGTTTAGGGTCACACTTTGTATATTTAAGATAAATGACCAAGTTGTATGGGGCTCTGAGCAACCTGATCTAGTGGAAGGTGTCTCTGCCCATGGCAGCGTGGTTTGAACTAGATGATCTTTTAGGTCCCTTCCAACCCAAACCATTCTATGATTCCATGAATGTTTGTATGTATTTGCACACTTCGTTATGCAGTTAAGACTTTCTGAGTTTTTACCTGAAATTCCAATCAAGTAAAATGAATGAATCCACAATTAATTATCCTCATGTTTAAAATTGTTGTGAAAAAATGGGCATGGATTAATAGGATCCAGACAAAATCTAAATGGTGAATATCTTCTAATTAGAGCAATATTATTTGTACAGAGTATTTAGGGACACCATACTAGTTAGCATGCTGAACATGTTTCTTTCAGGTAACTGATTTTTGCACTATACTCATAAAATGTTTTCAAGGACATAATTTGGCTATATTAGATAACCAATAGTTTCAGTAAATAAGCAACAAATATTGCTTGTGGATTTACATCTCAGTAAAGAAAGTATTCAATTTTGGTGTACTGTATGATTAGGTTTTGACATAGGGAGAGATTGTATTAGGTTTATGCGGTAAGGTTTTGGTAGGCAGGGGGTTCCAGGGGTGACCTCTGTGAGAAGAGTCCAGGGCTTGCCCTGTTCCAGACACAGCTGGTTCCAGACAGTTCCCCAATGGACAGCATTCAATATCACATATCGATCTCCTGCTTACATTCCTGGATGTTACACTGCCTGTTGACCTCCTCTTGTAACATGTCTGCTTGTCTGAGGAGTTCTTGCTGGACATGCAGCTATGACATCCAATGCTGCCTTCAGGTGCTGCAGGCACTTCCAGGTGCTGGAACTCCATGCAATCTCAGCTCTGGACAGCTATTTCAGTCCTTGGGAGGTCTGTTTGGTTGGAGACATCAGCATAGGTAGGCTGAAGTGCTTCTGTTTGGGTTTCAGCCTAAGCCTTGCAGTTGTGGTAGGTGGACACCATTTTCTTTCATCAGGACACAGTCTCCTTGTAGTTTACAGAAAAAAATCACAGAATTGCAGAATCAATTAGTTTGGAAGAGACCTCTAAAATCATTGACTCCAACCTTTGAATGAACACCACCATGTCAACTAGACCATGGCACTAAGTGCCACATCCAGTCTTTTCTTAAACACCTCCAAAGACAGTTTCCATTCCAATGTTTAACAACCCTTTCCATGAAGAAATTACTCCTGATGTCCAGCCTGAACTTCCCCTGGTGCAACTTGAGGCTATGTCCTCTTGCCCTGTCCCCAGTTGCCTGGGAGAAGAGGCTGAGCCCCACCTGGCTACAACCTCCTTTCAGGTAGTTGTAGAGAGTGATGAGGTCTCCTCTGAGCCTTCTCTTCTCCAGGCTAAACAACCCCAGCTCCCTCAGCCTCTCCTCATAGGACTTATGTTCAAGTCCTTTCACCAGCCTTGTTACCCTTCTCTGGACATACTCCAGCACCTCAGTGTCCTTCCTGAATCAAGGGGCCCAGAACTGAACACAGTACTCCAGGGGTGGCCTCACCAGTGCCGAGTACAGAGAGATAAACACTTTCCTGGTCCTGTTGGCCACACTGTTCCTGATACAGGCCAGGATGCCATTGACTTTCTTGGCCACCTGGGAACACTGCTGACTCATGTTTAGCCCTCTGTCAACCAGCATCCCCAGGTCCTTTTCCACTGGACCGCTTTCCAACCACTCTGCTCCCAACCTGTAGCGCTGCATGGAGGTTTTGTGGCCAAAGTGTAGGACCTGGCACTTGATCTTGTTGAATCTCAAATGGTTCATTTATTTATAAAATGGAAATTATTTTGAAAGACCTCTTCCTTCTGATTCAAGTTCCTTGGAGATCTCAAGCTTCCAAGTAGGCTTGCACAGCCAGCAGCTAGCTGAGATGACTGTCAGGGTTGCAGCCTAACCCTGTATGTGAACAGAGCAGGCAGCAGCAAACACTGTCCTTCTTGCGCATTCTATCGCACTTCCACTGTTGCTCCCAACTGACACCACTCCCTGTTTGCACTCCCTGATCATTGGCACGCCCTAGGATCCAGTTATATGCAGTTTCCCACAGTTTGAACTGACCACATGGACCAGCAGCACCTCCCCACTCTCTCTCAACCCAGTAGCTAGTAGACTGAGTTTTAACCATCTAAGACTTTTTAACTGTGTGTTTTACTGCAGTGGTAGCAACAATAGCTCAGTTGGTTAGAGCATGGTGCTAATAATGCCAAGGTTGTTGGTGTAGTTCATATACTGGCACTTCACTTAAGAGTTGGACTTTTAATGATCCTTGTGGGTCCCTTCCAATTCAGAATATTCTGTGATTCTGAATAGTGAATAGTCTTAAAAAGCTAAACATCTGTTTATGACTTCAAAACTACTTTAACACCTATATAATCCTTTAGAAATAAACTGTTGACTAAGTCTGGAACTAGGATTGGATCCAACCACACTCAGACTCCTCTCTGAGAAAGAGTTTAGAAAACAAGGGGGTTCTTTCTGCACCTCGTTACTCAATGGGAGGGTCTTCCTGATATACTTTGTTTGAAGCTCCCATTTGACCTGTGACAGACTCCCTGGGAAACTGCCCTCAGGAACCAGGGAGCAGAATAAAACTGGCAGATTATTAAGGGCATCTTCCATAGAGTGCAAGAACTAGAGATGCCTGGGCGCAAGAAATTGGGCAAGGAAGACGAAACCAGCATGGTTGAGTCAGGACGTACTGGTCAAACGAAAGGGCAAGAAGCATATGCACAGACAACAGAAGCAAGGACAGGCATACTCTTTACCGAGAATGTGGTCAAACACTGGAACAGGCTTCTTAGAGAGGTGTCCGATGCCCCAAGCCTGTCAGTGGCATTTAAGAGGCGTTTGGACTGTGCCCTTAATAACACCCTTTAACTTGGCCAGGCCTGTATTGGTCAGGCAGTTGGACTAGATAGTTATTGTAGGTCCCTTCCATCTGAACTCTTCTCATTTCTCATTATCTCGACACATACACAAACTGCCCTCTGGCCTGTTTTTTGAATTTTTTCCCTTTCTTTTCTGTCTTCCCTTCCCCCAGTCTCTGGGAAAGAATGCTTTGAAGTTTTACACAACCTGAAATTATCTTCTCTTGATAAAGACTTCGCCTGTTTTGGCATAAAACAGGCCAAGGAAAAGACAGAATGTTGCCACGTCTTCTAAACTTAGGCCTTCCAGCTACAAAGGTCTCTTGAACAAAGGAAAATCCTTAAAATAGCTTGTCCCTTTGCCTCCCAACAATGAACTACTAGTTTTGTGGTATCTTCAGATCGTAGCATGCTCCAACAGAAACTTCGTGACATCCAGAACAAGTAGTGGATCAATCTAGCAGAAAAAATCCAATTATACACAGGTAGGAGTGACTACAGGGGATTCTAGGTGGCTCTGAATACAGCTTACAGTCCTACACACCAGGTTCAAAGCCCTTTACTCAGTGCAGATGGTCAAATGCTTCTCACAGATAAAGTTTCCATTTTGAATCGATGGTCTGAATGTGAAAATTGGCAAGGCAGCTGGGGTTGACGGAATCCCACCTGAAGTCTGGAAGCACGGTGGCCAAGCACTCCATGCTAAGTTTCACGACTTTGTGGTGCGCTGTTGGGAACGAGGAGAACTACCTTCAGACCTTCGTGACGCAGTCATTGTCACCTTGTACAAGAAGAAAGGAGATAAAGCAGATTGTTCAAATTACCAAGGTATTACTCTACTCTCCATTGCTGGTAAAATCCTTGCAAGAATTCTTTTGAACAGATTAATACCCACTATAGCAGAAGAACTTCTACCTGAAAACCAGTGTGGTTTCTGAGCCAACAGGGGTACAACAGACATGGTATTTGTTCTCAGAGAACTGCAAGAGAAGTGTAGGGAACAGAACAAAGGACTCTATGTAACCTTTGTTGATCTCACCAAGGCTTTCAATACTGTGAGCAGAAAAGGTCTGCGGCAGATTTTGGAATGTTTAGGATGTCCCCCCAAGTTCCTTAAAATGATCATCTCGCTTCATGAGGACCAGCACGGTCAAGTCAGATATGGCGATGCACTTTCTGAGTCCTTTCCAATAGCCAATGGTGTGAAGCAAGGCTGCTTTATTCACAGTCTTTTTCAGCATGATGCTCCAAAGGGCTGCGGCTGACGTCAATGAAGAAAATGGTATCTACATCCGATATCATACCGATGGAAACCTTTTCAACCGAAGGCGACTGAAGGCCCACACTAAGACCTTAAATCATCTTGTCCGTGAGCTGCTTTATGCTGATGATGCCGCCCTCGTCGCCCACACAGAAGTAACTCTGCAACGTTTAACATCCTGCTTTGCAGAGGTTGCTGAGCTTTTTGGGCTGGAAGTCAGCTTGAAGAAAACAGAAGTTTTCTATCAGCCTGCACCTCAGGAAGTCTTCCATCATCCCCATATCATCATTGACGAAACAGAGCTCAAATCAGTCCAGCAATTTAATTACCTGGGAAGCATCATCTCCTGGGACAGTAAGATTGATGAAGAAATGGACAACAGGTTAGCAAAGGCATACAGAGTTTTCAGTAAACTCCATAAAAGAGTTTGGCGAAACAAACACCTGAAGAAAAGTACAAAGATCAGGGTTTACAGAGCCATTGTATTGTCTACTCTTTTATATGGGTCTGAATCATGGGTCATTTACCGCCACCACTTGTGTCAGAACGCTTTCATCAGTGCTGCCTCCGTTCAATCCTAAAGATCCACTGGACGGATTATTTGACCAACACATCTGTCCTTGAACAGGCAGCAGTCACGAGCATTGAGGCCATGCTGCTGAGAACACAGCTGCGTTGGGCAGGGCACATCTCCAGGATGCAGGACTACCGCCTCCCTAAGATTGTGCTCTATGGGGAACTTGCCACTGGCTGCCGCAAGAGACATGCCCCGAAGAGGAGATACAAGGACTCCCTGAAACAATCTCTCAACCTTGGCCATATTGATCATCACCATTGGTCTACCATGGCCTCCAATTGGTAGACCTGGAGACACAGTATCTATAATGCTGCTGCTTCCTTTGAGAACACACGCAGGATCACTCTCGAGGAGAAAAGACGATGCAGAAAGAATCGCATCTTGTCGATATCACCTAGGGAGTCTTTCTGCTGTGCCTTTTGCAACCAGACTTGTCTATCTCGCATTGGTCTTTTTAGCCATCAGCACGCTTGTAGCAAGCGTGGATAAATCTTCGTTCGCAAAACCTAGCCATGATGATGATGACATATACCTGTGAAGAAAGATTACGCTCAGGTACCCCCAGATACCAAGCAGTGAAGGATTTAGGAAAATTTATTTCCAAAAGCCGAGAGCAGTAACATTATGGCACTAGCTGCACTGGGCATTTTAAGTGCTGTTTTTTCGTCTCTGGGCCTTTTTAATGGCTTACCTGGCCCCGCCTTGCGGGACCTCCAAGGTTATCTGTAAGAATTTTATCTTTTCAGGGAGTTATCCTCTCTGTAAGGAAGAAGGAAAAACACCAAACTATGGGAAGATATTCTCAGACAGGGAGGAGGTAGAGCAGTCTGGAATGAAGGAGTGAGGTTGAGTCTGAGAAGAAGCAAGGGAGGGGAGAGTTGTTTTAGCTTTTTTTGTTTCTGACCATTCTATTCTGTTTTTAATTGTCAATAAAATAATCTTCCCATGCTGAGTCAGTTTTGCCTGTGATGGTAATTGGTAAGCGATCTCCCTGTCTTTATACTGACCCATGAGCTTTTTTCCATCTTATTTTTTCCCCCTGTCCTGTTGAGGAGAGGGAATGAAAGAGCAGTTGTGGATGGGAGGGGCAATCCATCTCAGAGGTGTCTTAGAATTTTATCCAGAAATATCTTTGAACTTGTCAAGTTGTTGGGAAAATATTTTTATATTTTATATATATACACACACATTATATAAATATATATATAGTTGTAGTCTATATGGTAATATATATTTTATCAAATACATACTATATAAAAAATGTATACTTTGATACTACTACATCCATCCATTACTAACAAAAATATACTGCCAGTTATGCATACAGTCAGTGAAAAAATTGCTAGAATCTGTATTTAGAGAAGCATTTGTGTATTATAGCATTTTACAGTGGTCGCTTTGGTACTACTGTGATGGGACAAGGAATACAAAATGATTGAGAGTACCAAGGTGTCTGTCTAAAGAGGCTTCCTGAATGCCCACTGTTATTTTTAGATGGTATTTAGCTTTCCAAAGATGATGTCAAATAAAATCCAAGACACAGTAAAGTTTCTTTTGAGTACACTTGTTCCAATTTTATCCAAAAATAACTTTTTCTAATAGGAATTTAGACCACATTAACAATTGCAATTGTTTAATAAACACCCATACTTACAGGATGTGTTTGATCATCGAATTAAATGCTGGCAGAAATGGCAAGATGCTCAGGTCACTTTACAAAAAAAACATGAAGCCGAAGCAAAGCTCCAACTTACCAACAGACCTGATAAATTGCAGCAAGCTAAAGATGATATAAAAGAGGTAATGTTGTCAAGTATTAATATTATTCTGGAGGCCAGACTTCTTTTACTGATTCATTCAATCTCCACTAATGCACTATTTTATACAACTTGTTTATAAATCATGTATTAGCTATTTTCCATATTTGCTGACATTGTTAAATGTAATTTGTTTAAAATATCAGATGTGCATAATTGTTACCATTCTGAGATATGTAAGGCAGTCAAATACTGTCTCTAGAGAGTCTGGGAGATGAGAAGAGGGGAACATGAACAGGTTTAAAAATGCTTTTAACTGTTGCAGATGACTTGGGTAGTCAGAAGAATATTTGGTTTCTAAAGCTAAAATCTAGCTAAGACTATTGGAGAACTTCACATGTTTTAATTTTTTATATATATATACATATATTATAATTTCAGTAAAAATACAAACATGTAGAAGTTTCATAGATTATGCACTTTTTCTAACATGCTTCACTAAGGAAATTGAAGAGGTAGGACAGCTTAATTATTTAACATTAATACATTCTAGTTATGAATAATGGAGAACATCACTGCAGATTTCAATATCTTATGCACTTTGTTTGGTTGCCTTATTGGGCGCTAACCAAAAGCTGCTTTGTTCTTTCTGCACTTCAATATATTTTACGTAGTGTTGAAGTTGCTCATTAACATGGCTTTCTTTTTTTCTTTAAAAAGACCTTTGTTGACTGAGGAAAAAGAAAGTCACTCTTTTGTGACCACATTCTTGCTGGTTTGCTCTCTTGAGGTCATACATCCACCATTCAACAAGTGAACTGGAACTCATTGGCAAAACTAATTCCTGAGTGTTTGGAGTAGTAGGAAATACTAAATGATCCTTTCTTATTCTTACTATAAAAAGAATAATTATGTTGTTCTTGAAGGGTTTCTTTTTCCTAATTTCTTGTGTGTTTAGAGAAGGTTGTTAAGTAAACCCAGAATGTGAATATGCTGGTAGAAAATTATTACTTCCACTGAAATATATTCAGAGTTGTTGAATTCTTTTTTAGTAGTCCTTTTGACAGATATATTAAAAAGTGGAAACCTATCCAGCTTGAGCTTCATCTGTGACTCAGTTCCTTTATGCAGATAATAGGTAAAAGAGTAGTCCTCAAAACACCATATAAAACAAGGGGATGATTTTTCCTTGTCAGAAACTGTAAGATGACAAAGTTATTTCAAAGAAGTCCTTATCTCTCTTTTCTGGACTGAATTTTATATAGTTTCAGTTATTAGCTAACTCTCTAGGCTGTGTACATATTAATATTTCCCTGAAGCACATCCCATTATAACTTATTGCATAGCTCCGTAAATGTACATCTGAAAAGACAATAAGGAAACTTTGAATAAATACAGACTAAATACATAAATATCTCAATATATTCATTTGAATAGATGTTCATTGCATATCACAACAATAAGATAACACTGCACCACAAACTGCTCTTGTGAATAAATAGCACCACTAGATTGTTAGCAGGAATATACTATATTGGTGTATGTTGCTTCCTGACTACTTTTTTTCTGAGGAAGATAGCTGTTACCAGATCTATTAGCTCCCATAATTCAGTTAGTATATTGAGATTAACAGATACAATTGCATTTTTATAATTTCTATTAGCATGCATATGTCTGCAGTGTCAGGATGATAGCATTTTTCATAATATACTCACACAGATGGTTTAAATTTAGCAACATAATAGTTACATAAAAGCAGGTGCAAAGGAAGTCTAGTAATGATTGTGTAGCTGTATGTCTTTTGACATAAGGATAAACATGACCAAGTGTTTTGTAGTATTGATATTAATGCCTTGTTCCAAGTTTGGCAAAACCCTACAAGCAACTTCACTTCCTCTGAATTTTACTTCTGTGCTGTTACCTGCATTTCTTTCTTTTTTAATTTTTTTTTTAATTCCTGCTGTCTCTTAAAACAGACCCCACTGATCAAGAGCTTGTGCTTTGGCTTACTTAAATAATATACATTCTGACCAATTAACACACTCTTGTTAGCTTGCCATCTGCAGCAGAAATATGGTAAAGATAACCATTTACTTGACCATAGGCAGGAATGAAGATTTAATAAACTTTTATGTGAATAGGAAAGTACAGACAACTATTTTTTGAGACTTTTTCACATTTGATTGAACAAGTAAGAAAGCTTAAAGGTTTAGGTTCCTTTCATGCTTGTAAAGGGAGTAGCTAATAAAGCTTTAGAGATCCTTTTTCTTTGCTAAAGAATCTTTAAAGTTTTTGTTTCTTAATATAATTAGAATAAGTTTTTTTTTTATATTTGGTATGTAGATAATATTACCTTAGAGATACCATTGTTTAACTGATCTGATGACATTCTTCTCTATAAATTGTTGTTTTGAAATTACTGTACTGAGACTTTTACTTAAGTATGTCAAAAAAACAAATAGATGCTTTTCAATTCTTGAATGGTTATCCCTAATATACTAAAAAAATTCAGATACCGATAGACTGAACATTGAACACAGTCTTATCTCTGAATGTTTTTCCTTTGTCAGTGGGAGACAAAAGTTCAGCAAGGGGAAAAAGATTTTGAACAGATCTCGAAAACCATTCGTGAGGAAGTGCAAAGATTTGAGGCATGTATAATTTAGTCCAAATAAATTATAGTTTTGCTTTAGATAATATCAATGTTCCAAGCACACTTGGTTAAGAGGTTAATCTACCATAATTATTTATTTTGTTAACAGAGGGAACGATTGAAAGACTTTAAAACTGTAATTATCAAGTACTTAGAATCGTTAGTGCAAACACAACAGCAGGTAAGAAATTTTAACATTTTTGTACAAGTTAATATGTTCCATATTAGGTTAGTTACAAATGACAGGCTTTAAGTATAGTATTTTCTAAAACATGGAGAACTAACTCTAGTCTGTAATCTATTGCACGAGAATGTAGTGATTGCTGTTTCCTAGCTATTACTGTTCTTACTTGCATAGCCCTAATTCAGGGAGCAAGAGAGAAGCTTTGTCAGGGAGATGAGACTTGTAGACTGGAGTAAAATGCATTAAATATGTGCATAGGCTTACTGAAGAGACTTGAATACTGAAAAATTTATCTGCTAAAAAAAAAAAAGAAAGAAAAAAAAAGTACTACATATTGTACAGCAGTAAAACGGTTTTTGGTGAGGCAGAAGTAGGCCTGGTTCCCAAATAAATGTCCTTTTTTTTTTTTTTTTTCAAACTGGGAATATAACCCTCCACCATTAATTAATAAAAATAAAATAATTAAAGAAAACCCAAACACCTTTAGAGGTAAAAATGGCAAACTCACTGTGCAAACAAATTCTGTATAGCTATATTCTGTGCTCAGTGTGTAAGAATAACTCTGTTTGCATGAGTAGATTTGTGTGTTTATTACTTGTGTTTTTCTTGCATAATGTAATAATGTGAATGGATAATTAATGAATGGACAATGGATAATCATCTGTGTTCTTACATTGTCCAGTGGAGACAAGGTTATTACAAGAGGAGTATGTGTGGGGTTTTCCAACATTCAGTACTTAAGGTAGTTTTTTTTCCTTCTCTCAAGCTAATAAAATACTGGGAGGCATTCCTACCTGAAGCTAAATTCATCACCTAAAGGAAGACTATTCCAAACAGCAAGAGACTCTGGTTGTTTCTCCTGGATAAAAACTAAATTCCACATTGAAATCACTTCAAAAATCATTCAAATAAACCACTATATATTTTATGAATTAACATCTAGTGGTTTTATATATCACACCATTTTATTAACAAACTGCATGTCGTGACCCTCTTTGAAGTGGACTGTGGCATGATGTTCTGCAACACATTCATGAATTGAACACTACTGTATCTTAATACTTGCACCAAAAGCAGATATTTTTATTCTTTACAATGTTCTGTAGTATGCTTATCTGATCTTTGAAACAAAATTAATTGCATTGATTAATGTTCACCAACACATTCCTGTAGAAAATCATTTTTCTGTGATTATGTATCTTGTGAAACATTAAACTTTTATTTTGTTTCTCTAGATATTTACTAGCATTCTTAAAAGTAGCATTTAAAACAGATTGAGATTATATCAGACAGCAACACATAGAATGGTTTGGGTTGGAAGAGATCACCTAGTGTCATGGTTTAACCCCAACTGGTAACTAAGTACCATGCAGCTGCTCACTCACTCACCCACCATCTGGATCAGGGAGAGAATCAGAAAAGTGAGAAAACTTGTGGGTTGAGATAAAGACAATTTAATGGGTAAAGCAAAAACCTCACATGCAAGCAATGCAAAGCAAGGAATTCGTTTACTGCTTCCCATGGGTAGGCAAGTGTTCAACCAGCTCCAGAAAAGCAGGACTTCACCATGCGTAAAGGTTACTTGGGAAGACAAAACACCAGAACTTCAAATGTCCCCACGTCTCCTTCTTCTTCCCCCCAGCTTTATATGCAGAGCATGATACCATAAGGTATGGAATATCCCTTTGGTCAGTTGGGGTCAACTGTCCTGGCTGTGTATCCTCCCAACTTCTTGTGCACCCCCAGCCTACTTGATGTTGGGGTAGTACAAGAAGCTATTGTGAAGAAAATTAACTCTCTCCTAACCAAAACCAGCACACCTAGTCGAGCCCCTTGCAGTACATCAGTTATCATGCAGTGAGCGTGCCAGCATCACACAATATCATTTGCTTGGGGATGGGCCTGGCCTCAGCAGTCTGAGACAGATTCTTTTGTATCTGATTCTTGGCCTTTGATTTGTTCTGTCTCTAGTGCTATCAACATAAGGTTATTTTAATAGGTTTTGATAGTTTACTTGTGGAATGTAAAGAATTGTCCCAGGCTGGACTTGGCTCCCAACCAAGTGCCTGGACCACATTGAAAAAAACTTCCCCCTCCCTCTCCCTCTCTCTGACAGACCGAAAATACCACACAAAATTAAAAGAACCCAAACCAAACTGAATTCCAAGTAACACACATTTATATATATATATTTAGAATTATATACATCACCCACAGACAACCCCCCAAAAAGGGGAAAAGAAAGGGAAAAAGGGACAAAGGGAAAAAGGGACAAAACCCAAATACTTTCCTTAAGATAGCAGTAAACCGCACCAACAACTGCCGGCACTATCTGCTTCTCAAGGCCAACCAGGCGCACTAGGTCTCACTCCTTCTCCTGGGCAAAATGACAGCAAAAAACCTTTGCTTTCAGTTTCCCGGAAGAAAGAGAGCGAGAGCTTCCTCTCCCTTCTTATTTATACTCTTGCTTACATAAAAATCGTATGGAATACTGGGAACATGGCCTTGGTTCCTTGGTTACAACCTGGTCGCCAAGGAAGACCTAGACTCAAAACCACTACAAGAATGCACTACAGATTGTGTCACGTGACTTTCTATGACATGTAACATGGTAGAGGCCCTCATGATGGTGATAGCCAAACAAAGAGTACGGAAAAATAAGAACCCTATTTTGAGTGGTATTTAATTGCCCCTCTTCTCAACAACCTGCTGTGGATATCTTTGCTAACTTAGCAGGTTCAAAAATTTAGATGTTTAACAAAGCGATGTTATTTGTGCTTAATAATTGTTCTCAAGTGGAATATATAGACAAAAAAACCAGTCACATTGTTTCTCCCAATTCAAAAGAAAAAATACTCAAGAGATGCAAAAATATTAAGTAATCTCAAGGGACTAAACTGTATTTGATTATTTTTTTTCCCCCTAAATATTTCAGTTGGTGTATTTAGTGTATATGCCAAGATTCTGGTAGCAGGCAGGAGGTCTGCAGGAGTGGCCCCTGTGGGAAGAGACCTGGGGCTGTCCCTGTGCTGGACACAGCCAGTTCAAAATGGTTCTGAAAAAGACCCACCACAGGTGAAAGATGAACCCATCAACACATCCACCTTTGTTAAGAAAAAAAAAAAGAGTTGTTGTCAAAGGTGACTCCCTTCTGAGGGGAACAGATTGCCCAATATGCTGACTGGACCAAACCCATAGGGAAGTGTGATGCCTCCCTGGGTCTCAGGTTAGGGATGTTACTAGAAAACTGTCTAGTCTGGTATGGCCCTCTGCTTATTATCCATTATTGGTTCTTCATGTCAGTAGTGACGAAATAACAAAGAGAAGTCCAAGAGTAATGAAAAGGGATTTTAGGGTCTTCAGACAATTTGTTGAAGGATGAGAAGCATGAGTTGTGTTTTACTCGATCCTTCCAGTTGCAGGGTGTCTTAGTTTAAATGAGACACAAGTGTTTTGCTGAGGATGAGTTAGGAGGAAGACCCAAACTCCTCCCTCTAAGCAATTACAAATCCGAAATTAAGAGGCTCCAATTGAGAAAAAATGTGGAAAAAGGAAAAATAACAACCCTTTATTAAAAGATATATGTGGATTGGCAGAAACAACAAAAGAACACAAGTAAAACAACCAAACAATAATCCTATACCCACAAATAATCCCCTTCAAAACAAACAAACAAACAAAAAGGTAAACAGTTCAGTTTGTGCCCATTGGTGCATTTCTAACCACAGTCATCAGGGGGTGCTGTTGGATCACTGGTGACCGCCACGGGGGCCTCCCCAGGGTGTGCTGGAGAATGAAACAGAGCAGGGCCCCTGAAGTTAACTCAGAATGCATACTCTGAGTAAAAGAACTAAAAGAACCAAAATTCAAGGCTAACGGAAGATAATACCTCGCCAAAGAATGCTAACACACTAACACAAAGAACATAAAGTAAGAACATAGGGAAATAAAGAACACCAAAAATGCTAACACACATACCTAAATAGACATAAGGAAGGGTTCCTTAGGAGATAAGGGGCGAAATAGGGGTATGAGTCCAAAATCTTGCAAAATTCACCATCAGAAAGACAGCCAACTAAGAAAGTTGAAAAGTTCAAAGCAAGGAAGACTTCTGGAATGAGACCCCCTGAGGATGAAGAAACAGGAAAAACCCCCGAAACAGCACCCCAAAAGGACAACTCCACCCAGACTCTACCCAGGCTCCACCTGCTATGAATATTATAATGAAATGTTGTAATAATATGAATATGCATGTAGAAATTATGTAATCTCTTACAAAAACTGTATAAATACCTGTCTTTACACTGATAACTTTGCACTAGTTTTGTCCAGCGTGAGTTGGCTAGCCCCCAACATTGCTCTCTAATAAATACCTTTTGCTGCTTAAAGACTCATAACTGTCTCTGAGCAGTTTTCAATGCGCCTTTTTGGGCATCAAGAAGCCAAAAAAATGGAGGTCTTCCCTCCCCCTGCACCGGGAAAGTGGAGAGCGAGGAGGGAAAGAAAGAAAAAGGTCCTTCCCAAAGGGAACTCACTCTGTCGTGCTGGTTGAATCATGTGGTATAGCTTCCCCTCTCCTTTGATGTGCTCAAGAACTGCTGCCAAAAAAAAACCAGAGGAGAGGCCTCCTAAACAGTTCCTTGCCAATGAAAATCCAAGCAAAATTCCCAGCTGTCAGCCAGACCGAGAACAAAACCACCTCGCATCTACTACTCCAACCTTGTTCCAGCTTCCGAACTCCTCCCCCCGTTTCTCAGGACAGGAGAAGAAAAAAAGTAAAAATAAAAGAAACTCCTTACCCCTCCCCACAGACAAGATCTTGAGGGTCATCAACTTAGAATGTGGTTTTACCAACCACTTCTTTTGTGTTAGTTAATGGCCCAAGCCACAGCCAACCTGCTATCCCTTTCACACCATGGGCAGGGGGAAGGGAAAATTCCTGCTTAATTTCTAAGAACAAACAAAACCATGACACAGGGAAAAATATTGAAAGGAACAGGCAGACACAACAGATCAACACATGGTTCCGAGGCTGATGTCATCAGCAGAATTTTCAGTTTTTTGATCATGGGATGCTCTATACTCCAAGACTACTGACACCTGAAGGGATACACCTTTCTCAGAGGGGGAAAAGGGGTTTTGAGCAGGAGTTAGCAGGGTTGATTAATAGAGCTTTAAACTAGATTGAAAGGGGGAAAGGGACAAAAGCAGTGTGACCTGTGATAAGCAATGGGATGGTGTGCAAAAACTTGAGGAACTGAGTGTTGGTGAGATCCTTCAGTCTTCTCCATGAAGTGTTGGTTACAATGAACCATACTTGAAATGTTTCTATACCAATGCACACAGCGTGAGGAACATGAAGAGGAGCTCAAAACTTGTGCCCAGTGCCAAAGATTTGACATCACTGGTATAAGTGAAAGCTGGTGGGATGAGACCTGTGACTGGAGTGCCCTGTTGGATGGTTACAAGCTCTTCAGGAGGGATAGTCAGGGCAGGCGAGGTAGGGGGGTTGATGCTGTATGCAATGGAGGGGCTGGAATGTATGGAGTTTACAGTTGGTAGTGGCACAGTTGAGAGCCTCTGGGTAAGGATTAAGGGGTAAACAAACAATGCAGATGTCATTGTGGGAGTCTACTACAGACCTCCTAGCCAGGATGATGACACAGATTAATTATTCTTCAAGGAACTAAGGGACATCTCTAAATCATCCATCCTTGTCCTTGTGGGGGACTTCAACTTTCCAGATGATGATTGGGAATATCACACAGCTGGTACAAACAGGTCCAGAAGACTCCTAAAACACCTGGATGTTAACTTCATGGTACTGGTACTAAATGAGCCAACTAGGAAAAGTGCCCTCCTTGATATGTTGCTTGAAAACAGTGCCTCGTGGGTGAAGATTGGTGGCTGCCTTGGCCACAGTGACCATGAAGTAGTCAAGTTTGAAGACTTCAGGCTGCTCAGGGAACTAGCCAGCAAGGTCCCCTGGGAAAACACTTTTGCAGGTGCTGGGGTCCATCAGTGCTGGTCACTTCTCAGGCACCACCTCCTAAGGGCACAGGAACAGGCAATTCCTAAATGACAGAAGTCAAGCAGATGAGGAAGAAGGCCAGCTTGGTTGAGCAGGGATCTTCTTCTGGGGCTAAGGCAAAAAAAGAAGGTGTATACCAAGTGGAAGCAAGGTCATGTGACATGGGAGTAATACAGAGATGCTGCTCACCACTGTAGGGAGAAAATTTGTGTGACCAAAGTTCAATTGGAGCTGAAGCTGGGCAGAACTGTGGGGGGCAATAAAAAGGGCTTTTTAAAATACATTTTTAACAGAAGACAGTGCAGAAATAACATCAACCCATTACTTGGTGAGGACAGTCACCTCACAAACAGGGACATAGACAAGGTAGAGATGTTTAATCATTCCTTTGCTTTGGTCTTCAACACCAGTACCCTGAGATGGAGGACCATGATTGTGAAGATGATAAACTCCCAGTTTATCCTGAACTCATACAGGATCTGCTGCTCCAGTTGGATCTTTAAAAGTATGGGGGCCAATGGGATTCATCATGGAGTACTCAAAGAGCTGGCTGATGTCTCAATGATTTTTGAAAGGTCTTGAGATTCTGGAGATTAGAAGCTAACATTGTCCCAGTTTTTAAAAAGGGCAAGAAGGATGACCCTGGAAACTACAGCGCTGTCAGACTCACTTCAGTGTCTGGTAAAATGGAGAAGACTATTCTGGGAGGTATTGAAAAACACCTGGAGAGGAATGCAGACATTGGTCACAGCCAGTACGACTTCATGAGAAGAAAGTCCTGCTTATCAAACCTGATTTCCTTTTATGACAAGTTAACCCACCTAGTTGATCAAGGGAAGCCAGTTGATGTAATCTTTTTGGATTTCAGTAAAACTTTTGAGACTGTCTCTCACAGGATCCTGTGACTGGGGAATGAGATGCTGGAAGGGTGTCCTTGTCAACAGAAAGTTGAATATGAGTCAGCAGTGTGCCCTGGTAGCCAGAAGGACCAAATGTGTCCTGGGGTGCATCAACACAGCCTCACCAGCTGGTCGAGGGAGGGGATTGTCCTGCTCTACTCTGCACTGGTGCAGCCCCACCTTGAGTACTGTGTGCTGTTTTGGGCACCACAATATAAGAAATATATGAAGTTATTACAGAGTATTTGAAGAAGAGTCACACAAGGAATGGCTGAGGTCACTTGATTTGTTCAGCCTGGAGACAAGGAGACTTCATCGTGGTCTACAGCTTCCTCAGGAGGGGAAAAGGAGGGGAAGGCACCAACATCTTCTTTGTGGTGACCAGTGACAGGACTCGAGGAAAAAGGCATGAAACTGTCTGGGGAGGTTTAGTTTAGTGTCGTGGTTTTGCCCTGGCTCAATTTGCTTTTACACCCCTCATACAATTACTATCAGTTGAGAGAAGGTTTAGGCAGACAAAAAGAGACTGAATTGGAAAAAAAAAAAAAGTATTAACATTTATTACTAACAAACTAAAACTAAAAAACTATATCTACAACAATTCTACTTAAGTAAAAGGTATTATGTATTTACAGAAAAATACTTCTCCCCCCCCCCCTTTATATCAGTCCAAGGAGGAGAAGCAGTATCCGTTTCCATTCTTGGAGTTCCAGCTCTCTTTCCAGTAACTCTGCAGCACTCTCATCGCAGCTGGAACTCTTTCTCCTTCTCTGTGTCAGCCTCCAGGGCCGGGCCTACCCCTCTCCTGGATTAAGACCGAAGACTGGGGGTTACCCAGGTCCTGAAGGGTCTTTTCTTCCATAGGTTTGCAAGGGGACACTTTCTTACTATGGATCTTCTTCCACAGGGTTACAGGGGATAATGGTTTAAGAGTTCACCCCTGTTTCCCTATGGAGGTCCCTCCCCATGGGAAAACAGTCCTTGATAGATCTCTTCAACATGGTCTAGCATGGATCCCACACATGGATCCCAACATCCCTACCCAAACTGTTTTCTGCTCCAACGTAGGTTCTCTCAGGGTCTCAAATCTTCAGCACCAGCAGCATGGATCTCTCACTGAGATCCCAAGCTTATCCAAGCCGTCTCACTCCAGCATAAGCATCGTCCCCTTCAAGGGTCACAGAGTCTTCAATAGGACTCTGCCTCATCCGAGCCGCTTTTGCTCCAGCATAAGGCTTTTTCTCTCAAAGTCACAAATCTCTGGTACATCCACAAGCTCCTCTGTGAACCGCATGGGGAGTCTCTTCACCCCAACAAACTTTTACAAGTGGCAGGGATTTTATTTTTCAGTCTTTACCCTACTGAAGGGAGGGAGAGCGAAAGGGAGAAGTAGTTCTCCCCCCTTCGAACCTTTCTTCTCTCTCCTCCAACTGCCAGCTTTGACCTCGAAAGTCCTTTATCTCTTTGCTGGAATTTCTCTGCAGCGGTTTCTGTCCAAGTAGTTCGTCTTTTAAGCTTTTTTTTTCTTCACTCTTTAACAGAAGAGAAGGGGGGCTTCAGTATTACACTTGCCCCCCCCGGCCCAAGTCGGGGGAGGAGGGGGTCTTGGCCCTCCTCGGGCCCGCTACTCTTCTACATGGCTGCTACCCCTAATTTCAACTGCGCAACAAGTCTTCTCTTCCGTTTTCTTAAAGATGTAATTAGCAAAGGCGTCACTGAACTTTTTGATTGGCTTTTTTGTCCGGAAATCACCTGGACAAAACCATCCTCAGCCCCAGGGATGGGTTGGTGGGCAAAACCACAACAGTTAGATATTAGGAAAAGGTTCTTCACCCAGATAGTGATTGGGCACTAGAACAGGCTCCCCAGGGAAGTGGTCACAGCACCAAGCCTGCCAGAGTTCAAGAAGCATTTGGACAACGCTCTCAGACACATGGTGTGATTCTTGGGGTTCTTCTGTTCAGGACCAGGAGTTGAACTAGATGATCCTTGTGGATCCCTTTCAACTCAGGGTATTCAATGATTCTATGAAAAAAACCTTGTATAATTCATACAGAAATTTAGTTATATGCTCTAGAATATAGATTTGAGAAGTTACTTCATAAATTTTTATTACAATAGCTACTTGAGAATTGTTAGATAAGTAAATAATTTGACTGTTTAGAATAATTTACTTGCATTATGAAATATGACATATTTTTTACTCATTCTTTGATACTACTTAGATGAGATTATTTTGCTATTGACCACTATTACCTTTGCATCATTTCTTTTCATCTGATTTCCTTAATTAATTACTGTTTGGTGTTGAGGCCTATAGAATAGCTCTTGAGAATTCTGCTGGCATCAATTGATTGTTGTGAAATTGTTAATGTTAGTGATTTCATCTAAGAAAATTTCAGAGCCATGTCATCTATTTGTTCTT